TCGAATGATAGCGTACAATTTTGTATCCATGATATGAATATTTCTATGCTGTACATACAACATGTTTTGCAAAATTTTAATTATACATTTTTTTTTCAAAATTTCTATTAATATAAATATAAATTATACATTTGATAAATCATCGACTTATTGGATATAAATATAATTGATTGACTGGATTATTCTCACGTTGGGCTTTCTTCCGCAATAGGCCCAGTAAAACTTTTTGTAAAACCGAAGAAATAAAGCGCTAATGATTTTTTTTTTGTTCCGGCACAAGATTGCATATTCCATTATTATATATTACTGTCTGATCTTATCTTTTAAATTTGTTTAATAAAACGGGAAAAACCATAGTATGTGATCGCATATCTCCCAACCCAAACAGAAGTATATGGAACACAGGCTACACTCGGTATTTGGGATCCAATAGTAGTCCCAGGAATCGGCGAGTTCAGTTTTTCTCAAATGTGGCTCGTCGCGGGACACTACAACGAATCTGATCTCAACACAGTTGAAGCTGGATGGGAAGTTGACTTATTATTTACTCTTTTTAGTATCACTATTTAACACTAAATTTAATTAGTTTATTGTAATGTTCAGGTTTTTCCGGAACATTATCACGATAATCAGCCACGACTCTTTATTTATTGGACGGTATGAGTAATATTAGAGTTATTATTTAATATTTACCATAAATTAGGATAAAAAATTTAAACTAGTGATGACTGATGAATTACCGACATCAAAATTAACCCAAAAAATCTAATTTACGAATTTGTTAAAAGCAGTCATATATAATAAATTAATATTAGCTGACACAACTTTTGTGTTTTATTATGAATGTATAATTCTTTCGTAGAGGGACACGTATCAATACACTGGTTGTCGCAACTTCGAGTGTGAGGGATTCGTACAGGTCTCCAGTAAGTTTGCGATCGGAGCGGCTTTTGCTCCGGTCTCTTCTTACGACGGGAGCCAGACTGACATCACCATGACAATATGGAAGGTATATAAAGCAATAAAAATTTTGTTCAATATATTAGAAGTCAGATTTTTGTTCAATTTAAATCAGAATAATTTATTTGGTTTCGCGAATTGTAGGATACGGACCATGGCAACTGGTGGCTAGGTATCGGCCAGTCATTTGTCGGGTATTGGCCCGCAAAGCTGTTTACTCATCTAGCCGATGGTCCGGCGACAGTAGTGCAGTGGGGTGGGGAGGTTGTCAACACACGTAGCTACGGCCAACACACGACCACACAAATGGGGTCGGGCCATTTCGCACAAGAGGGTTTCGGCAAAGCAACTTTCGTCCGCAACATTGGGGTCGTCGATCAACTATACCACCTCCACCAAGTCCAAGACATACGACTTCAAGCGATGAACTCCAGTTGTTACAATGCTGTGAAGCTTCACAACGAGGAGTGGGGGACACACTTCTACTACGGCGGACCGGGTTTCAACGCCTTCTGTCCTTAATAAGTTTCTCATTGCAAACTATAGTAAT